AGGTGATTGCAGTGGCAGATGAAGCCCATGGGAATTGTGCTGTAAACATCTATGGTGATGCATAAATTACTCTCAAGTATTAGATCCACTTGGAAATATCAGATGTCTTACAAAGACCAAACAAGATGAATGGAAAGTATTAGCGTCTATGCATCTCTTCCGGAGTTTATCACCTGTAAAGTGTTAATAGTGTTACCTAATTGCAGTTTTATTAAATCAATTTGTTAGAAAGTAAACAGGTGCTATAGAAAACCCCTGAGGGAAGAAAAGAAAAGATAGTATAGTATGCAGTGAATAAGGCTTTTGAGAAATTTTTAAAACTATGATAAAAAATAAAGTTTAAAATACTTTGTTTATCCAGTATTCAATATAAAATCAAGCTTTTTACAGGGCTTTAATCTGCAGGCATTGTTTGATTTATTGTTTAACATAAGCTTAACATTGTGATATATTGCTGATGCTGAATTAATTTGAGTTCTGTTTAAAAAAGACTGGGTGTTCTTTTTTTCCCTGGTTTTTTTTCCTCATTTGTTTGTTTGTAACAAAATACTAACTATTTCGAGTTTGAAGTTTATTGTTTTTCATGCTATATGTGGAGTATTTTATATACTATTATGCATGTTGCTTTACACGTGTGTTACTATATAGTCTGTTTTTTATTGAAGTCATTGCAATTTGAATTCTAACAGCTCTGCTAGCTGTTTCTTTATTGTTTTATTCTGTAAACCTGAAATAAAGAGGAAGGTAATGTGTCTGCCATTCTAAGGAAATCAAATCAGACCAGGTAAGGCAGTATTAACACTTCACTGTTCACCAAAGCATTGTGCATTCAGCAGAAGATGAGTAATTCTAATTTGTGAGAAATGGTTATTCTAAAAAGGAAAAAAATGAAAAATTTATTTTCAGAAACTCAAATGCTGATTTCTAGAGCACCAAGCAAGAATGTAGTGTTTAAATTATGCTGGCTTCACTTCTTCAAGGCATTTGGGTTTTATTTCACTGCTAGTGAGTATACATGAAGAGAGCAGTTTTAATGTGTATGTCCACAGCTAACTCTATTCTCAATGCAGATAAACTGGGAGATCTTGCCTAGTAATTTCTTTAGCACCAATGAACTTTAGAAATGGACCAGGGTCACACAGTCCCAGAAAAAAATCTATGTAAACACAGAAAATGAAGATGATCTCTTTCTAAAGTAGTTTAAATTTAAAGTATACAGCCCAAAAGCAACAGGGGAACACAGACTGACTGGTGAGGAAACTGCTGTATTAGGGGTCAGTTGATAGGATAAAACAGTTTCACATATTCATGCAAAAGTCATAAAATCCCTTTTGTCCCACAAAATTTATTTTTGTTACAGAGGACCTCTTGCAACCCTAACTGTAGTAGTCCCTTGCCTTAGAAGTTGCATGCAATGGAATTTACTTGGTGAAGGGAAGGTAGAAAAACATTTCAAACCCATAACTTCTTTTGGGGGGGGGCGGGCTGGGGGTCCTGTTTTCTTCTGCATTCTGTAAGAAAGAACAAAAGGGGGAAAATAATTCTAAAGCTGCCACTTACTGTAATTACATTTCAGAATATGTTTCTGGCTGAGTTACAAGCTTCAGTCAGAGGCATTTATTACAATTAAAGTTGCCCTGTAGGTAAGTTAGTTTAGGTGAATAAATGATGCTGTACTAGTTGTAGATCAAGGGCTATGACCAATTCATTGCACGCTGTGATTCCTGCAGGGATTTCAAAAAGCTGTTCCTCTAGATCTCCTGAATAGGTTTCCTGTGCTTCTGTTTTAACTTTGTCGTTAGCCTCTTTTGGAGCAAAGAGCACAATGCATAGACTGTTATCAAATGCAAAATATGACCATGTGTGAATGCGCAAATAAAGTGAGAAATGTTTGTGGAATGATTGCAGTATTTACCAGTCTTTTTTGTGCTGCCAGAGATAACAAGTGGGAATAACTGATTTTTGTTTCAGCTGTTGCTGTGAAAAACTGGGGAGCAAATTGCTTGGGGTCGAATGAAGCAGTTTATTATTCTGCTTTACAGAAGAATATACATTTCACTATTTTCAAGTGATCTTTTGTTTCCTTTTTAATTATCACACTGAGGTCAATTTGTTTTCCTTCTCATGGGGAGACAGGGACAGCATACATTTGTGACTGGTTTTGGTGAATAAACTATTCATGTGCAGAATTTTTCCCTGCTCTGTGGTTAAGTATCACTGTTCAGGCTTGCTATTGCTAGCCTGAACTGTACATTACATCTTTCACAACAACATGCTAAATGATTTATTTTGAAAGATCAGAAGCACTTGGTTTGGGTTAGTGGAAAGAAATGTGAGCCGCGACAGAGGCAGTGTTCCCGCAGGGGTCTGCCCTTGTTCTGGGGAGTGGGATACGTGAAGGAAGACCCAGCGTGGCTCCACGGGAGTACAATGTGAGGAAGGAGAACCTGGTGTGACTAAGAAGTGCTGGCATTTGACAGCTACCACCTTTTAATTTGTTTGTGCGTGAGTGGTTGAATCTGATGGACTTGTGCTTTAAGTTCAGAAGTGATGCAAAATTAATTTTAGATGTGACTTCATACCTGTGTACAGAAAAAGCTCACTTGGACAACTATTGCATAGAAGTAATCTGATCCATTTTTCAATATGAGACTAGCAAATTTATACTGTTCTTACACTAACTGATACTGGATTCAGGGTTTTTTTCAACTATTTCAAAATAAAGCCCGAGTGATGCTTTCAGAATCAAGAATTCAGATTTTGTTGCCACTTATTTAGTAAAACCATTTTAATAGGCATGTTTCCGCATAATGATCAGGATAAGTGAAACTAATTCATTATTGGTTTTGTGAATCCTGTTGTTGGGAATTAGGTTCATTAAACGTGTACTTTTTACTGCTTTCTGCCAAAGGAGAAAGTGCCGACTCAGTGCCTTGAACTAGCTAACCTTCATTGGCAGTAAGAGCTACGGTACTGCAAAATGAACTGACACACGTCAAGCCTGTATTTTCTGTAATGTTAAACAGATTGACTGTGCTGCCATATGCCAGTTGACTCTACAGCATGCTTTACTTGAAGCAGCGGCACAAAAACCACACAAGCAATCCAGCAAGGACATTGCCATCTAACTCTTTTACAAGCCTTTCAATGACTGAATTTTTTTCTGTGCTTCAGTACAACTCGAAGCCATTAGCAAAACATTTTCAAGCTACTTAGCTGCCATATAGTGCATGACCATTCAGGGTTAATCTGTAACAGCAAAGAGCATCAGAGGAGGAAGTTTTCTGGCTGCATAATTGCAATTTCTTTCTTTTCCAAGAAGCTGCAATTTCAAATCTTAAGTTGTTTTCCTTAGGCAGCACCTTGTCAGTTTATTCCATGTCTATGTCTGACCATGGGAAGAAGAACTAGACCTTGAATTTTCCCTCTCCTGTTTTGAAACAATTCAGTAGTACTTCTGTGTCCATTTCATAATTGTGCTACTGGACAGTATCCCACAGACCTGCACATAGCTCACTGCTTCCCATGATACACACATCTGTACATGTTGAAACAAACATTAAAGCTAGCTTTCTGGTCACTTCCCTTATTCCCACTTTGGGCGTATGTTATTTTGCAAGATACATGGCAGTGGAAAAGCTGTGTGAGCAGCAGTGATGGAAATGTAGGATTTGATCTCGGACATAGGAGCAGGCCAACAAGACTCCTGACAGTGGTTGTGTTGTAATCACATTAGAGACTTTCTAGATACTCCAGATCTGCAGTTAATGGCAGCAGTTGCAGGTAACTCCTTCACAAATAGCTTTTTTTAGGCTTCAAAGCTGCTAGTGTTAGGATAAAGAAAGGCCAGAGGTGATCTCTTCTTTTGCATCTGTAACACAACCTGTCAAGGTTTTCTACCAGTTCAGGCTATGAAGAGCTAGTCTAGCGCATTCACCTATGCCCAAGGAGCTATACAGATGCCTCACCTGTCCTCAGAACTGATTATGGACATAAAGCCCTATAAAAAACTAAATTAAAATTAAAATTGGAGCTGCATATTTAAAATGTGTTAAATTCAAGATTGGCAGGTACATGCTGTACACTTTCAAATAATTAAGATTATATCCTCTCATTAATAGTTAAAAGTTCAGTAAGTCCATGCAGCAGCTTAATAAACTGTTCATTATGGCACTAAATCTGAATCCAAGCTTTTCATTTTAACAGTGAACCAAATTCAGACACCACATCCAAACCCATAAAGTCATATTTCCCAGCCTAAACAATTAGATCTGCACAATGAAGCAGTGCAATTATTTTTCTACATGAAATTCATCCAGCCTTACAAATCTTTCAGAGGAGAAGAAAGGTTTTCTTGGTGGGGACATAACACTTCAGTTATTATTTAAATATTTGTACTTAAATATTAGTACTTAAATACCCAGAAAGGTATTTAAGAGGTCTAGTTGAATAAAACATATTAACAGTTAACATAATAAAAAATATTAAAATATTACAGACTTTCTGGTTGTTTCTCTGTGTGCCAGGAATGATTAGGGGTGACATGAATGCTGTCTTGTCTTTGCTTGACCTCCTTGGTGGAGCTGGATGCTGTTGTCTTTGCAAAGGATGCCAGTAAAGGGATTGTGATTTCTACCCATGGATCTTCTAGGGACTCAGCTGAAATCTTTCTTGTTGAATTTGAAGGTTGTTCCTGTGTTGCTTTCTACAAAATGGATTCAGAATTGTGTTAATCAAAACACTGAGTATCACTAAAACATGAGTATGTGAGCTCTGAGTGAATAATGACTTATTCTGAATTTCTGGAGAGCAAAAATATCTGTCTGTCTAGATCTTGATCTGTTGTTGGTCATACTTCTCATATTGTGAAGCTTTCTTATTATTGGGGTTTTGGGTTTTTTTCTTTGCCTTGAGCTAACTTTCTGTTACAGTTGAAAATGTCATTAGAAGTAACAAATGTTTCTTTGTTTTTTTTGTTGTTTTTTTTTCATCCCATACAGTGTGAAAGGAGCAGATGCTGGCAACGTGATCAGACTATTTGTACCAGATATTGGGATGTTCATTGCTAGTCTGACAATATGGCTCATCTGCCGCAACATGTTTCAGAAGCCAGTAACCGAGGATGCAGCACAGTGCAACATGCAATTTGAAAATGAGGAAATGGTATCAAATACACATTTCTATCTGTATGGCTTTTAAATAATAGTGAGCTTTGGCATTCCTGTCTGGATGTGCTCTGAAATGGTTTCATGAGGACTGGGTATGTTAAGAAGTGAACTTTCTTTCAGGAAACTAAACAATTGTTTTTAAAGTGGAAAAGCTACAGCTGTTACCATCTTGAGAAAACAAAGCAGGATATGAGAAGTGGTAGATATTCTACTGAATTTCTCAAATTGTTTTGAGTTAAGAAATGATTGTGACAGTCGATCACAAATTGATTCTTCACCAGAGCTGCTGGTTAAGCCCGACAAGGTTGTTTTGCTACATACATTGCTCAGTTTCTTAGATAGCATCCATATTTCCAAACTTGTTATCCAAGAACAACAGCAGCATCTGAGTGATTATCAGAAATGACTCTTAGGAGAAGGGAAGAGAGACTGTGTATTACATTCATGGAAGGAATTATCTAAAACTGTGGTCATACTGAGTGAGCTTGAGGATAATTTTGGGGAATGGCTTAGCTGGAAGTGTTGATGTGTTTGCTGTGTATTTTCCCAGTGGGAAGAAGAATGGCAGAGATACCAAAGGCAGAAAAATCCACAGAAAAAGGGAAGCAATTTTATAATATAAAAAGCCACAGTGGGAATTTAGCCCAGGGTGCAGAGAAATTCCTACTACTGATCTTAACATGTTTTTTATCAGACTGTCTAGCATGCCTTGGGTCTCATTTTCTGTCTTCTTTTGCGCGTGGGTGGAATGTTTTTTTCTTTACTCTCAAAAATCTGTTTTTAGGGGAGACGCTTACAACTTGCACATTTCAAATAGAAATTGCACTTTGAAGTGGGTAAATTATTTAGGGGGACCAGCTGCCCATTTTGGTGCCGCTATAGAGAGGAAAAAAAGCCTCTCTGCATGTTGCCATGTTGTCTGGATTGTGGTATTGCCAGAGTTGCTAGCACATGAGAGATAAGTATCAGGACTGTGCTTTATACTCAGTTGCAGTTGTAAGATTGCAGCTTTTAACTACATGTTGGAGGATATGTAAGTCTGGGTCTGATGAGTGTATGCAAGGTTTTGCTGTGTCTCCTGGAAGCTGGTTTTGTCAGCTTTAAATCTGCTTTATCATTTGAGCTGTGCAGAATGAGCAGGCTAGAATCTGGGGCTATACCCATAAGGGGAAATGTTTGAAGTATTAAGAAGTGTGGCTAATTAGAGTTGCATTTTACCAAAGTGGGCTCTAACAGACTTCTTTGAAGCCCTTGATCTCCTGGAAAGAAAGCATGCACGTGCGTAAAACAGGAGTAATCTGATGGCAGAAGCTCAGGAGAAAAACATTCAGATTCCTCTGAATCTAAATGATGATGTTCAGATACTCACTTTTTGTTTGGTTTAGAGGTAAGCCTGAGCCTGGAGTCTGGGTCAAAGGGAGCTCAGTCTCCCAGAGAGGATGGGTGCTGGCTTCCAGACAGGTTTCAATAGTCATTTGCCTGGAATGCAAGGGAAAAAACTGAGCTAACAAACACTGATTACATAGCACAGAGTGTAGCTTTAAATTGGGTTGGTCCTAGGCTGGCTGCCTCAAGGCAATCCACCAATGCAACTAAATGGGCCAGAATATTCCACAAAAAAAAAAAGCTTGGGGGAGAAGGGGAAAACTTTGACTGCAAAGAAATATTGATACTGGGCAAATAGAAATCTGCGTAAATGTGTTCTACTTCTTCACATCAGAGCTCAGCAAATATTATTTGTGTTCTGTAAACTGTATGTATTACAGAATATTTAGTGAACACAGCAGCTGTGTTTAGATTTAGTGACACCCAAAACTCTATCACAGGCATTTTTTTTAAAAAAGGGATAATGGTTACTGCCATGTGAGGTGATCCCCAATGCTTTAAGGAATTCTGATCTTCACAGCTGAAATGATGAATCTGCATCAGAATAACCTGCTTGTTTTTTAAAAATGGAGTGAAATGGAGAGTGGAAAATTAAATACCTATTAAACACATTTTTCCAAACTTCAGCTTTCTCTTTCTAGGTGTCTGCACATAACATCCTGGAATCATTTCTGCTAGTTAGGAGGAGGCTGCAGAAGCAGCTGAATCTGCTAGGAATATGTATTTGGCAGGACTGACTGTAAGGAACCTAATGCATATCAGAGCATGCAGCTGAGTGTCTGAATTTGGGAGAATATTGGCATGATCTAAAATGAGTCCAAACTGTGTGGGTTTCACATGATAATTTTCAATTCTTCCTTGGTAGAATACACTGGAAAAGGGAAAACTAAGTAAGTGATCAGTTCTTTGAATTCTGCATTAGCTGACTGATGCCTGTGGCTGCGTGTTGGGGAGGCTTTCTACTGATGCTGTAACTCCAGTGAATTAGAAAACATGAAATGAGTTGCAGCAATAACTGCCCTACAAACAAACGCTTCAGGAGAAGTGTTGAGCTTGGTACTGTGCCTCCAGAGGAAATAGTCCTGGGTTTGTTAGTCCAGCCACGTAGCCAATTTCAGAGTGGAAGAGCTTTTGCTGTGAGTCCCTGCCACCAGTCATCAGAGGTTTGTGGTACGAGATTTTGTTAAGAATGCATCAGCTGATTTGAACAGGCTCAAAAGAGCCATAAGAGAGGTGTCTTTTCAAATTGCTAGATGCCTAGCCACAGATGGCTCTATAAATCAAGAAATCAGCAGTGTGACTTCCAGGCAAAAGCAGAGAGTTTGTCTTGCAGCTTTACCTTTTTGCATGAAATTATTTACATTGAGCGATTCTCAGACCTCTTTGCTTTTGGGGAGAGAGAAATACTGTGGAAATAGGCTTAATTAAAAAAGAAAGATTAATCTATCTATTCCTTCCAATATTTATGTATAAGAAAACCTGTTAAATAATTGTTTTAATACTTCTAAAAGTGACCTTTTCAAAGCTGCATGAATCCATCACATTTCAGTTGTTGTATGGGCATGCTGAAAAAATGCCTGGAGTTGAGTAGTAGTTTGTGATATTCAGTTGTGTGCTGTACTTCGTCATGGCAGTAGCCTCCAGAAACCAGCTGTAGAGTACAATGGATCAGATTGCTCATGGCTTGAGATGCAATTCAAAATAAGAAAAAGGATCAGAATCCAAATTAAGGACAAGAAGGATTCATGGAAAAATGGATGTCCTTCTTCATTACACTGCATCCAACTTTAAGGGAAACAGATCTCCATCAGAAAAGTGTATTCTACAGAACAGAACTGGGGGGGAGGAGGCTATAAGGCAGTGAGAGACTCTCAATTATTTGCAAGTAACGCTATCCCAGGAATAAGCAAAGAGTGTGGTTTTAATTAACAGTGAGTCATGAAGTAGGAAGGTCTGCCAGATACCAGGCTGCAGTCCAACTCATTACCACCCCTAAATGGTTGCACACTTGGAGCAAACGTGTCTGCAGGCCTTTTTTATTAGGGCTCACAAAATTTAAAGCAGGTGAATTCAGCTGGAGACAGGCCCGGATAGCAAATGCCGAAAAGCACAATGCCAGTCACAAGGTGTAAAAGGTGGAAGAAAATAAGAAAGAACAGTTAACTCCCAGCTGCAGCTGAAAGTATGACATTTTTGATTTGGTGCAGATGGCGGTTTATATGCCAAAATGCAGATACAGTATATACAGTCTGATAGGTTTTAGAAAGGAAGTAGCTTTTTCTTGAGACTGTGGCTGAATTGCCTAATATTGTAAGTGACAGTGGTGGGGAGGAAAATCCTTCTGAGATTGCACAACTTAAACTTTAGAAGAAGTGTTGGTCTTAATTGAAATACACAGTTGTAGTCTTCAATGCAACTTCGTCCCATGGCACTTGCTGCCTTGCCCATTCAAGCTTGTTTCTCATCCACGCTCTTCTAGAAAGCAAATGTGACCACTGGGTCTGTACTTTGTCCCATAATCTGAGGCAAGCTTGATCCCAGAGCCTCCACCCCTCCTCTTTTCTGCGGAAGGCAGAGATTTGTTTGGGATCTCAAAAAGGCAAAACAAAAAGAAAAAGAGAAAGAGGAAATTGTTTTAAACTAAACTCAAGTTTGGGAAGACTGTGAGGAGAGCTTGGCTTGGAATCAAGATACTGGACTGGACTCAGGAGGACCAGCATGGTTCTCACTTCGGCCACAAACCTGGTTTGTGTTCTTGAGTCTATTACTTCATCTGTCTCTCGGCTTCTGTGTCCCTTGGCAAATAGGAGCAGTAAAAATGCTCAGTTTCCTAGCTTTGTCATTCTAAACAGTGACAGGGCTATTTGTCCTACGCCTACAATGGGCACGTAGTACATCGAGAGCTCTCTTTTGGTCCAGGTCTCCAAGTGCAACTGCAATACATACAGGGCAGACTAGATAGGCTCTGAGAGCTACACATGTCCCATGCTTCATGCAAGGACTTCCTGGTCTGGAAATTGCCCATTTAGACCAGTATCCTCATCCTGAGAGTAGCTGGTACCTGCTGGATAAGGACAGTAAGCAAGGAAGGGAATACCCTTTCTCCCCATATCCAACGTTACAATTTGTCCTGATCTCTCCTAGTGAGAGACTGGCTTTAATCCTAAAACATGTGGTTTCAAATCCCTTCCAAAAAATGTTGTTTATAATTATAGCTACTCTGGATAATCTTGTTAAACATATAATTATCCAGACCCTTTTAAAACCTCATTAATTTCTTGGCTTCAGTGGCATCATGAAGCAAGGACTTCCACAATTTAATAAGTGCTCTCTGATTTTATGTCAAATTTAACACTCTTTAATTTTATGGAAGGTCCCTTGTATTACATGTTATAAAACACAGTGAGATGGTATAAGGGAAATCAAATGTATTTATTATCTTGCATATTTGTCCTTTTAAAGGTAAGCAATCCCTGTTCTTTTTTCAACTTCTTTTGTCATTTCCATTACGTTTTTCTGAACTAGCTATAGTTCTGCAATATTCTCTTGAGCTACAGAGAATATCAATGCCTCAGCATGTCAGGCAAGGACTTACTGTTGATTTAAATG